GGAAATCCTCCCTGTTGACAGGGATGATACTTCCTATCACTATCCCATTTAACTTACTATTAGGCTTTGTAGGAAAAAAAAATGAGTCTTAGAGAATGAGAATAGATTATTTTAATGTTAATCAGACGATGCCAATTGTAGCTGCTCTTATACATGTAGTTTCTCTACTGGAGCAAATCCAACACAGCCTCACTACTTTGGATGCATCTATTGGTCTAACAAATGCTTTTATCTCAATCCAGTAAGTAGAGAAGCTTTCATCTGGCAGAAGAAGCAGTACACTTTCACCATCTTCACTGTGACATAAATTCTTCTGTTTTTTTGAGATGGAGTCTTGCTGTGTTGCCTAGGCTGGCTTGCAGTGGTGTGATCTTGGCTCACTGCAATCTCTGCCTCCCAGATTGAAGTGATTCTCCTGTCTCAGCCTCCTGAATAGCTGGGATTATGGGGGCTATAAAGGCATATCACCAAACCCGGCTCATTGTTGATATTTTTAGTAGAGTCAGGGTTTTACGATATTGGCCAGGCTGGTCTTGAACTCCTGACTTCAAGTGATCTGCCCACCTTGGCCTCCCAAAGTGTCCGTGTATAATCCCATTACAGGCATGAGCCATCGTGCCCAGTCCAACTCTTTTTTATGCTGTGATAGTCCGTGGGTCCCTTCATTATCTCACCATCCCATGGTTCACCCCACACTCACCATATTGATGATCTTATACCTGTACACCAGTTATTTCTCCTATGTGCTTCCCTTAATAAACAATAGTCCAAAAGGCTTGGGATGTATGCTAGCTGGTTGTTTATCTCTGTTTGCTATCCACTGGACTTAGGGCTTTAAAAATACTCTTTTGCATGTTATTTAAGTAGATTTAAGGAAGGGAGTACAAGTAGATGAATGCTTTAAATTAATCATTATTATCTAGAGGTACCTGACGTTTCATAAAAAGAGTGGCATATTCTAGGCTGTTCCTATTTGCATTACTCCATGTATAATAGATTGAAGTCTCAGGGCTGACCCAAAGCAGCACTGAACACTAGCAGTGCTAAGCACACTTGTAAAACTTAAGAGTGCCAGGTGGGATGGTTCAGTGGTCCTTGGCGTTGCTAAATATATATTCAATGCAGGAGTTGCTGGAACATGCCTTGCTCTTTCTTGTGTCTGTGCATTCCTCCAGGAGTGTCCATCTGGCAAACCCTCTTCCTTTTCAAAGCCCAAATGCTGCCTTCTCTGCAGAATCTCCCTCACTTCCTGGGGCCAACAGATGTTGGAGTTGCTTCTCCTGTGCATCCTTTGCATCAGCATTAAACCAATCAACATAACCATTTGTAGTTGTTACTTTGAATATCTGTCTCTTCATTACATTTTAAGCTTCTTGAGGGCAGGATTGTGCCATTATAACTGTATCCTCTGCACCAGTGTAAAACGCTCCATGAAATATTTTTTGAGTGAAAGAATGCAAGGCATCAGGAAGCCATTAAGATCAACAAGACATGAAGTATGTCCTCAAAAAACTTATACTCTAGTGAGAGAGAGTATGCATATGAAAACATATATGGTAGTATGTACCAAGTACCATAACAGGGTTGAAAATAAAATTCCATGAGATCAAAGGAAGGAAGCAACATCCAGATGAAGGACACTTAGAGATATTACAAATATCTAGGATTTCACATTTGAAAGATTATGATGGGCCAGGTGTGGGGGCTCACGCCTGTAATCCCAGCACTTTGGGAGGCCAAGGCAGGTGGATCACCTCAGGTCAGCAGTTCGAGACTAGCCTGGCCAACGTGATAAAACCCCCTATGTACTAAAAATACAAAAATTCACTGGGTGTGGTTGTAGGTGCCTATAGTCTCAGCTACTTGGGAGGCTGAGGTGGGAGGATTGCTTGAGCCCAGGAGGCAGAGGATGCAGTGAGCTGAGATCGCCCCACTGCATTCCAGCCTGGGTGAAACTCTGTCTCAAAAAAATAAATAAATAAACAAAAATTATGATAGAGACAGTGAAAGTGAAAAAAAACTAGAACCTTCTAGATTAAAATAAGAAGAACATGAGCTAAGTCTATAGACAGGAAAGCTTAGGATACAAGTAGGGAAGAGAAAGATGTTCAGTTCAGTCAAAACCAGTATATGCAATGCACATTTTATAATAGTTTAGGGGCCCTGAACAATACATAAAGTAAGCATAAATGTCTAACTTCATGAAAATGTGTATTAACTTATAAATTAATTTATAGGATGGCTGAACATATCTGTCTTCTAAGTCAACATACAACACCCTACTTAGCTCAGAATAAAGTTGAACTATGAATTAACATACCATTTTAATTGTTTTTATATTAATTTTTATTTTAAAAGTAATATATGTGCCTTCACAGAATATTGAGAAAACTCAAATTTTCAATTACATGTAACATTCTATTATGTTATCTCATTTTTTTACATATCATCTCAGGAACATTTCCCCAGGACATCAACTGCTATTCTAAAGCACGCTCTCTAATGGGCTGGCTGCATACTGTACTATTGTATGGACATACCAAAATGCCTGTAACCAATTCTTTACTATTGGAAAATTAGATGAGTACAATATTTTTGTTATAAATAATGACGTATTGAACATTCATATGTATAACTTTTTGCCCTGATCTGATTATCTTCTTACTATAAATTTCTCTAAATGGAATCTCTTGATCAAAGGATAAAAAGTTAAATTTTTTTCATATATATTGACAAATTGCCCTCCAATTGGCACTCTCACCAGCCATGAATGAGAAGGTCTGATTCCCTGACTATTGATAAGACTGAGTGTAACAATTTTTGAAAAAACTTTGCTAAATTTAATAGATGAGAAATAGTACCTCACTAAAAAGTTCTAGATTTTCTTGATTAATAGGGAAGGATAAGCATGTTTTCTTAGGTGTATTGGTCATTTCCTTCTCTCTCCTGTCTTCAAAAAAGAAAAAAAAAAAAAAGAGAGAGCAAGATGGGGTCTCACTCTGTTACACAGGTTGGAGTGCAGGAGCATGATCTCTGCTCACTGCAACCTCCACCTCCTGGGCTCAAGTGATCCTCCCACCTCAGCCTTCCGACTAGCTGGGATGACAGGCTAAGTTAATTTTTGTAGTTTTTGTAGAGATGGGGTTTCGCCATGTTGGCCAGGCTGGTCTTGAACTCCTGAGCTTGTGATCTGTCCGCCTTAGCCTCCCAAAGGGCTGGGATTACAGGCATAAGCCACCGCACTCAGCCTCCTTTTCTTTTTTAATGATTTGCTTTCCATGTTCACTGGAATGTAAGGTGAGGCTCCTTTTCTGTGTGTGCTTTGTTAAATGCTGTAGTCTTAGCAATGGCTGGGTCCAGGGTCTGTATTTATGAAAATTTTTTTGAATGAATATATTTATTAATTGGATGTTAACTTTTAAAAAAATGTTATTTGTAAATTCTTCACAGGTAGATATGAAATTTATTAATTCTGGTAAATAGTTTAAGCAATATCTCATTTCTGTTTTAGTTTTGTTTATGGTACTTTTTTGTCAAAGGGAATCTCTCAAATGACTGTGATTTAATAATCAACACTTAAAAGTCCCTTTTTAGTCTTTTTCAAGTTTCAAAAAAAACCCTACTGGTATTCTGATTCGAATTTTTTTAACAAATAGATAAACTGTGGAGGCAATATTTTTATAATCATGAATATTTCCATCTAGAAACATGTTCATTTAAATAAAATCCTTATGTATCTCATTTTGCAGTTGTCTTCACGTAGTGTCAGAACAACCCTTTATCTTTATTCCTACACTTTTGTTGTTGTCAATATTTGAATGTGACCCTTCTCCACTAGAATGTTTTTATTTTTATTTTTTTGAGACAGAGTCTGGCTCTGCTGCCCAGGCTGGAAAGTAGTGGTACAATCTCAGCTCATTGCAACCTCTGGCTCCTGGGTTCAAGCAATCCTTGTGCCTCAGCCTCTCGAATAGCTGGGACTACAGGTGCCAACCACCACACCCAGCTAATTTTTATATTTTTAGTAGAGACAGGGTTTCACCATGTTGGCCAGGCTGGTCTCACACTTGTGAATTCACCTGCGTTGGCCTCCCAAAGTGCTAGGATAACAGGCATGAGACACTGCACCCAGTTATTCTCTGTTAGATTTTCTAAAGTGCTGTTTGATATGAAGGCTGTTAGTTTTTGCATGTGGAATTTGTAGTGTGTAGTTTTTGCATGTGGAATTTGCAGTGTTATAAGGGTCATTGGACTGAATTCTACTGGTTTTAATAACTATTTAGGTGATTTTCTTAGATTTTAAAGATCAGTAATATCTAGCAAATAATGACAATTTTATTTCCAAAAGCGATGTTTTCTTTGTTTTTATTACATTACATTGGCAAGAGTTCTCAGAACAATGTTACATGATAGTGGTGACAGCCAAAAACCTTGTCTTGCTTCCTCATTTTAATGGAAGTTTAGTTTTACCATTGTCTATAAAACTCGCAGTTGCTTTGAAGAGGGGCGTGTGTGTGTGTGTGTGTGTGTGTGTGTGTGTGTGTGTGTGTGTGTATTAAGAAACTATTCCTCTAATCCTAGCTGCTAGGGATTTTTTTTTTTTAATCATCAGGAAAGCATGAGGAATTTATCAAAATTTCAAATTTTCAAATTGATCAATCATAGGTATTTTTTATCCTTTAACTTATTAGTGAATTATGTGAATAGGTTTCCTAGTACCAAACCCTGGTTCATTTTTTGAATTCAGATAATCTAACATATAACTTAGCCTCAAATTCATTTTGATTTTATATCTGCAGTAGGTTTGTTTTCCTAATTATAACTCCTATAGGTAAATCATTGTTTGACTTCTGAGGACATCCTGAGACTGGATGGGGTAGCCAGATGTGTTGGGGTAGAGAGGGGAATTGTGGCTGGGATTTGAAACGTGCCATGGTTAACTCCATAGACAATGAAACTGACAACTGGCTGTACAGAATTTCAGTTTCCAGATTACTTACCCATTTGGGTTTCTTTCCAGCTCGTTTAAAAGTGTATGATCACAGTATTCAAAAACTAAATGCATTTTCCTTTTTCTCCTGAACACCTCGATGAGGTTCACAAGATTTGGATGTTTTAATTGCTGTGAAAGAATTGAAATGCAAAGTTTAGTGATCTGTTACTAGTAAGAGCTTCTCCTCAGACCCCTGAGGAGGGAGAAATTTAAGATTCATCTAATGTACCTATAATAAGCGGTAACAAGAGGACCTGAATCTCTCTGGTGATAGCAAGTAAAGTATGTAACTTAAAATACTGTACTAAAACAAAAAACACTTTATATATTTTATGGAAATTCTATATATTCAAGTCACAAAATAACCTGAGTAGAAAATTGAGGAAATGGAATTACTGAGTAAAGACTATAAAATCATCAATACCCACTCAGCTTACATATTGCTGGGGATTTTATGTAAATATCATGTGGATTTAAACTCAGTCTGGATTCTAGCGTTGGCTCCCAGTAATACCAGATCCCAACTTTCAAGTCTGATTAAACCGTCTATTCTAGAAGTCCCCACATTTAGTCTGTGTTTTAAATTTATTACATTTTCAGCATTATTCTTTGATTCTGTTGTTCTCTTGTGCATAGATATTTTTGTGTGTTAAATTCTATTCCCAAATTGAAGCATTTCATAACACAGCCTCTTGGAAACCAAGAGGAAAACCCAAGGAAAAATGCTGATTAGGTAGGATAGTCCATCACTAAGCAATTATATAATTTTATCCTCCAAACTAGGGTAATAGCTACAAGCCAGGACTATCCTAGGCAAACCAGCACATATGGTCACACTGCCTATAACTAGGGTGACCATATAATTTAGCATACACACCAGGACACTTTTTTTTTCTTGCTCTGTCACCTAGGCTGAAGTGCAATGGTATCATCTCGGCTCACTGCAACCTCCGTCTCCTGGATCCAAGCGATTCTTGTGTCTCAGCCTCCCCAGTGGCTGGGACCACAGTGTGTGCTGCCATGCCTGGTAGCACAAAAAATACAAAAATAATTTTTGTATTTTTAGTAGGGATGGAGTCTCACCATGCTGGAGTCTTCAGCCTGGTCTGAAATTCCTGACCTCAAGTGATCCACCTGCCTTGGCTTCCCAAAGTGCTGGGATTACAGGCATGAGCCACCACGTCCGGCCACACCAGGACACTTTTGAAAGGGGATGTGAACCAGGCAGGACACTGGGACCAAAACTATAAAGTAGAACTGTCCTGGGCAAATCAGGATACATGATTGCTCTATTCCTAGCCCATCTTCCCTTCCCGGTTGTTTTCCCAGCATAGTAGACAAATCAACTTTCCAAATTGTCTACCATTTACCCAGAAAGATGAGGGCTCCCGTCAGCATTTTGCATATAGTAGAAGCTCAACAAATAGCAGGCCCAGTAGAAAGTGTTAGGTTCAGAGACTAACAATGCATGCTTCTATCTCAGTACCTATTCACATAAGCATGGCTTGACCAAAACAAATGTCACCTACAACTGTGTGCCTGCTGCTCAACAGCTTGGGAAAAGACAATCCATTGCACATTAAAAATATGCCCAGGCTGAGGCAGGAGGGTTGCGTGAACCTAGGAGTTCGAGATCAGCCAAGCAACACACTGAGACCCCATTTGTCTAGGGGAAAAAAAAGAAAAGCCCAAGGTACCAAACCAATTAGCTTTCTATGTGCTCCACTGCCTAAAGAGCAGACAGGCAGAGTGGAGGAGACTAGGTCATCCGGGAAACCAGAGGCTTTGTGCTGCTGCAAAACCACAGTGTGGAAGCAAAGCAGGGTCTCTATTAGGGGAGTAAAAGATTTACAGATGCTGGCTGGGTATAGTGGCTCAGGCTTGTAATCTAAGCACTTTGGGAGGCTGAGGCAGGTGGATCACGGAGTCAGGAGTTCAAGATCAGCCTGGCCAGTACAGTGAAAACCTGTCTCTACTAAAAATACAAAAATTAGCCGGGCATGGTGGCAGGTGCATGGAATCCCAGCTACTCAGGAGGCTGAAGCAGGAGAATTGCTTGAATCTGGGAGGCGGAGGTTGCAGTGAGCCGAGATTGTGCCACTGCACTCCAGCCTGGGTGACAGAGCTAGACTCCATCTCACACACACACACACACAAAAAAGATTTACAGATGCTACAGCTTGATGCAATATCAAGGTTAAACTTGGTCCAATCTCCTGTCTTTGGGTAGGTAGCGATTTATATTTCCTTTGAAAATGAAGTTAACCTAGCCCAGGAAAACAGCAACTTGCCTAAAGAAAAACAGGTAGTAGGCTGGGCGCAGTGGCTCACGCCTATAATCCCAGCACTTTGGGAGGCCGAGGCGAGTGGATCACGAGGTCAGGAGATCGAGACCATCCTGGTCAACATGGTGAAACCCTGTCTCTACTAAAAATACAAAAATTAGCTGGACATGGTGGCGTGCACCTATAGTACCAGCTACTCAGGAGGTTGAGGCAGGAGAATTGCTTGAACCCAGGAGGGGGAGGTTGCGGTGAGCCGAGATCACGTCATAGCACTCCAGCCTGGGTAACAAAAGCAAAACACCTCTAAAAAAAAAAAAAAAAAAAGGTAGTAAGGAGAGAGAGGCAAACACAATTTAAGTAACAGGACTATGTGAGGAAAGTAAGGTAAATTGATCACAGAAGGACCTGTTCAAGGCATACATGGACACAGTATGCCCAAAGCAGAAAGATGGACACTCTGACATTCTGAGGGCCTTCATCAGAGACCAAGCTGAGTCATAATCGGGCTACTTTTTACCTTAAAGCTCATTCACAAGTTGGGACACTTGTAATGCAGAAGGTACTACCTGAGCATTAATTTTAGTTGAAGACTGGGGAGGGAGAGGCTGAGGGGGTAAAAGCATTATTTTTATTAGAAAACCACACTGCCTGGCCAGGCACGGTTGCTCACGCCTGTAATCTCATCACTTTGGGAGGCTGAGACAGGTGGATCACGAGGTCAGGAGTTCAAGACCAGCCTGGCCAAGATGATGCAACCCCATCTCTTAAAAATACAAAAATTAGCCGGGCGCAGTAGCTGGGACCTGTAATCCCAGCTACTCGGGAGGCTGAGGAAGGAAAATTGCTTGAACCCAGGCGGCAGAGGTTGCAGTGAGCCGAGATCGCGCCACTGCAGTCCAGCCTGGGTGATAGAGACTCCGTATAAAAAAAAAAAAAAAAAAAGAAAACCACACAGCCTGGTTCAGACCCACCCTGCAGCTTAGCTCAGTGAGGGTGCCAGAGGTGGCTAGCTGACCGGCGCCCTCTGCTGGCTAAGAGGTAATAGTGAACTCTTTTTTTTATCATGATGGATGTGTTCCTGAAGACTCTACGTATCATTACATTTTAAACAGAACCCTAGTGTGTATTAGTTGAGGAAACCTGCTAGAAATAAGGTTTGAAAATGAGAGATCATATGATAATTATTAGTGACAATTATTACCCCCCCTTACAAACTGAATTTCTGGGGATTTTCTAAAACCAGATGATGTGTCAAAAACGAAGGTCACCTGTGTCCTTGAAATCACAGGGTCTTGTTACATAATGTGCAGCCCACACACCAGCAGCTTCCGCACTCTCAGGCCCACCCGAGACCTCCCAGCTCAGAATCTGCATTTCAACAAGGTCCCGGGGATTCTACCGCATATTCACATTTGAGAAGCGCTACCCTAGACCTCCGTTTCCTCTGCAGAAAATAAGGGTGTTGGATAAGAAGCATCTCTAAGGTTGCTTATAGCTTTTAGAGTAAGAAAAAATTTACATCGAGAACTTAAGAATCTTACGTGTCAAATCTTATCAGAGTGAAAACAATTATAACAAAAACCTTTATGTAAAAAACGTATAAGTCACTGGGGGTGATATTCAATATGTCTAAGAAGCTGGGGTGCAGTGCAGGCAGGAACCAATGTTGATGCTTTAACATCAACTCCATTGGGACGGTCCTGTGGGACTGGCTGACTCTGTGCCAGGAGGTGCTTTTTTTAGTTGCTGATTGGTAGGGGAAGTATTTGGAGGGATATCCAGAGGAGGGCCAGGATTGGGAGTGAGTTAAACACTGGGGTGAATGAACTTAGGATATTTATTAACCAGAATAAAAGTTCTTTACAATATCATGATCTATAGCTGTATTCATATATATCAGACAAAATCAGAATGGTCAAAGTCCAAAGTGATAATCAATGTATTACCCAAAGGTGCTGATGCAAAGGAATTTAAGTCCAATGGAGGAAATAACTTTAAAATTCTCTGTAATTTTAGCATGCATAGTTCACTCAATACCATGATACTTTATATATACATATATATATAAAGTTAACCTACCTTCAACATATGTATTTCTCTTAGTGCTATTTTCTTAACGACAGGATCATCTTCAGATTTCACAAATTTTTTAATAGCTACTACTTGTCCAGAGGCTTTGTTTCTGCATTTGAATACAACTCCATAAGACCCTTCTCCAATCTTAGCTAATTTTTCATACTTTTCCATTATAGTTGAAGTGATTTAAATTATTATTGTATTGATTGACTTGCAGTACAATGTTGCACCTGGAAAATAAGATGGACTTATCTTAATCAAGCTATAAAAGACAATGTTCTCACAGTCTACATACAACCAATTTTGCCTAGATGCCAAAGGTTTATTTTCATCAATTAATTGGAAATCCACTTAAAAGTATTTGGATATTATTTTGTCCATTTAGTTTAGTCCTCTGCAGTTCTTCCAGCTATCAAAGCATTTCATATGCTATTTATGACAATGGGTCTATGTTTAGTTGAATTAAAAGAATTTGTGGAAAGGAAACTTACCCTATCTATTGTTTTCATTATCCTCAAGTAAATTACTGAAATATGATGCTGTAAAATCCAGCTGAAGGAACATTTCATACTCTGGAATATGCTGTTTATCTTTTCTCTTCTAACCCAAGTGCATGCACAGTGACTAGGAGGAGTTGTGTAAGAAGACATGGTACAAAAAGTGCTATACTTCCCCCTGGTGGAGAGAAGAAAAAGAAAATGTGGGCTGCTGAACAAAGCAGTCTTTAAAAACAATAACAGGCTGGGTGCGGTGGCTTACCCAGCACTTTGGGAGGCTGAGGTGGGCAGGTCACCTGAGGTTGGGAGTTCAAGACCTGCCTGACCAACATGAGAAACCCCAACCCTAATAAAAATACATAATTAGCTGGGTGTGGCGGGCACCTGTAATCCCAGCTACTTGGGAGGCTGAGGCAGGAGAATCCCTTGAACCTGGGAGGTGGAGGTTACGGTGAGCCGAGATCGTGCCGTTGCACTCCAGCCTGGGCAACAAGAGCAAAATTCCATCTCAAAATAAATAAATAAATAATAAATAAATAAATAACAGAATCCTTTTAGAATATGTTTTGCTCTTAGTTTTTATTTGCATGGAAGAACAGATTCTTAAGTTCTTAGCCCCAAAAGAAAATAATGATAAGCACGCACAAAAAAGCATTCATTCTTCATGATTGTTTTCACATCTATAGTGATTTCTACGGAATTACTGGGCTTTTCTGTTTTGTGTCATCCATTCTTGAATTTTTTTGGTGACCAAATTAAATGGTAAATGATGAATAAGGCCAACATACTTAAATAAATCAGTCTAAGAATTAAAAGTAAAAAAATTCTAATTTGTCTCAAAAACTCCACCTCACTTTATCCAGCAGAATCTTGTTAATGTAACCTAATAATGATTATAATAATAATGGCACTTAACACTGTTCTATGCAAATTACATATAATGTGCACAAATATTCTATGAAGTAGGTGTTATTTTTATCCAATTATACAGATTAGAAAATTAAGACACAGGGAAGGTACAACAGAATTAGAACCCAGGCAGTGAGATTTCAAAGAACACAATTTTAATCACTACACTACACAGTCTCTCAGTTAAGTTCAAAAGAATGCATAATTCAGCCAGGAGAGGTGGCTCATGCTTGTAATCCCAGCACTTTGGAAGGCTGAGGCAGGTGACCTGAAGTCAGAAGTTCGAGACCAGCCTGGCCAGTATGGTGAAATCCTGTCTCTACTAAAAATACCAAAGGATTATCTGGGAGTGGTGGCACAGGCCTGTAATCCCAGTTACTTGGGAGGCTGAGTCAGGAGAATTGCTTGAACCCGGGAAGTGGAGGTTGTGGTGAGTCGAGATTGCCCCATTGCACTCCAACCTGGGTGACAGAGCAAGACTCCATCCCAAAAACAAAAACAAAAACAAACAAACAAACAAAATGCATAATTCGAAGAACCACTTTATCCAGGTCTTGGTAATAACAAAGGGCCAGGTTAAAGAGTTGACTACTTGTAAAATTTCTCGTTTTGAATGAGTACACATTTTTTAAAACTTCTCTAATATTGTCTTTTCCATCTACAGATGATCTCAATGGTGAAAGAAATTGACTACTTCCACTTGCCACCATAAAAGTATACAATGGAGAAAAATGTTTACCTGGATAAAATGACTATTGACATACTGTTTTTTACAGTGCTGCTTTTTTTGGTATAAATTAGATTTCCTCTCTTATTAAAGAAAGAAAATTCAAGAATACACACTCAAGTAACACATGGAAAATCCATCACAGATTTTGTTCTGAAAACCCTATTAGTTATACTGTATTTTTACCTATGCATTATTATTTTAAAGATATTTAGATGGGAGTATGCATACATTTGCATAGTAATCGATGGCTGGAAAGAGGGTAGGAAAAACTGGGAATTTGCTTTAGAAAGTTATTGGCATCTGGCTGGGAGCATTGGCTCATGCCTGTAATCCCAACACTTTTGGAGGCCAAGGTGGGAGGATCACTTGAGCCCAGGAGTTTGGGGTTACAGCGAGCTATGACTGTACCACTGCACTACTTCCTGGGCGACAGAGGGAGACCCTGTCTCTAAAATAAAACAAGATAAAGTTATTGGTATAAAACTTTATATATTTGTTCATTTAACCTACTTGATAAGTGCTATAGTCACTGGGGGAAACTATAAATATGACAAAAAGCTTAATTATGAAGTTTTAATTTATGCATTCCTTTCTTTTCTTTTTTCTGAGACAGCGTCTCATTCTGTTACTAGGCTGGAGTGCAGTGGCAGGATCTCGGCTCACTGTAACCTCCAACTCCCTGGTTCAAGCGATTCTCCTGCCTCAGCCTCCTGAGCTGGGATTATAGTTACTTGCAGCCATGCCCAGCTAATTTTTGTATTTTTAGTAGAGACAGGGTTTCACCATGTTGGCCAGGATGGTCTTGCTCTCCTGACCTTGTGATCCACCTGCCTTGGCCTCCCAAAGTACTGAGATTACAGGTGTGAGCCACTGTGTCCGGCCTATTTTCTTATTTCCCTGTAGGTAGTTGATTTGATCTATTGATTTATGTTTTTTCTTTTTTTCTCAACAGATTCAGTAATGACTGATTCCTCAGACTAATATTTAGATCTGGCAATCACATCAACCAAACTGCTAAATGCAATAAAATAAAGCTCCAGAAAATAGTGTTTCAGCTGGTAACCTCTCAATATTTCTGTTTTCAAAAGCCCTACTATACATTCATGGAAAATGGGTCTGAGCATGCAAGCAGGAATTAGACCAAGGCAGAAATTCCACAAAGGAATTTACAGCTCTAATTCTGGCTTGCTAGGACTGTAACAGAATTTCTGGAGGTAGTAATTCCTAATCTCTTATCTGAGATTCAACTATCCAACCGCTTGATGAACATCTCTACATGAATGGACAGAATCATCTAAAAATGGGCACATTCTAAACCAAATGCCTTCTCTTCTTTCTTATCCTCTGTCAACACCCAAAGTTCATAAACATGCTCCACGTTATGCCTAAATGGGTTGTCAAGGCACGTGTGGTGGGGGGACTTTGAGGTGGCCAAGGACACTGACAGCTGCCTAAACCTAATCTCTTCATACATCTTCCATAAAGCAATAAAATCAACCAGGACAAATAAAACCGCATAAATCCAAAGACTTCAATATAACAAGAAGACAGGGGACTCTAAAAACTTAGGTAGAAAAGCAAAGCCCAGATTCTGGAAGGGATATCTCTCGAGCTCCCACTATAAACCTTGGCAGAAGGCAAAGATATGAGTGGGCTGAGATCTAGAAAAACTGTAAGAAAGACAGAAGAGGAAAACAAGGGCCTAAGAAAGACTTAAGATCACCTCCTTCCCAAAGAGAAAACACATCACAAGTGTAAAAATACTCTAAGAGTGTCCTGGTAGATCACAGCATTCACTTCAAGGAAGGGGTTTAAAAGTATATGGGTATCGAGGTGGCAGTAGTCAGTACGGCACCGTTTTTGGGGAATAGAAAGACAAGAGAGAAGAGAAAGGCACCTGCTAGAGACTGGACAGTAAAGGAAAAAAGTAACAGGGATAAACTTGGCATCTTGCAAAACAAAAGAGAATTCTGAATTGAAGGACATGTGAATCCTCCTGACACCACGAAGATGGTGGAAAAGTGTCATTAATGAAAGAAACTGCACTTTGGTACGGTGACAGAAAAGACTCTCTTGGCCTAGAGTGACAGTCAGTTACTAACAGCCAAAACCTATCTGAGAAATGAAACAGTGAAAAGCAGTCCCCATACTAAATATTATTGGAAGAAAAAATCAATGAGAATCCAAAAATTTCAGTTAATGAAAGACATTTAACCAGGAAGCAAAAAAAAAAAAAAAAAAAAAAAAAAAAAAAAAAAAAAAAAAAAAAAAAAAAAAAAAAAAAAAAAAAAACAAAAACAAAAAACTAACAACAAACACTCCAAACCGATTTAAATATCCTCTCACGGCAGTGGGTTGGCGGGCTAGTGGGATGGCAGATGAGGAAGAGGACCCTACCTTTGAGGAAGAAAATGAAGAAATTGGAGGAGGTGCAGAAGGTGGACAGGGTAAAAGAAAGAGACTTTTTTCTAAAGAATTGCGATGTATGATGTATGGCTTTGGGGATGACCAGAATCCTTATACTGAGTCAGTGGGTATGCTTGAAGATCTTGTCATAGAGTTTATCACTGAAATGACTCACAAGGCAATGTCCATTGGAAGACAAGGTCGAGTACAAGTTGAAGATATCGTCTTCCTGATTCGAAAGGACCCAAGGAAGTTTGCCAGGGTCAAAGACTTGCTTACTATGAATGAAGAATTGAAACGAGCTAGAAAAGCATTTGATGAAGCAAACTATGGATCTTGACACTTTTTGTAGTTTCTGAAAATTACCATCTGGGGATATCATATATAATAACTGTATATCTTCTAAAGTAAGGCTCTGATATCTAGCCATGGAAATGAAAGATGGAGAAACACAAAGTTTTCAGCCTTTATTTATTTATTTTTATTTTTTGGAGACGGATTTCACCATGTTGGCCAGGCTGGTCTCCAACTCCTGACCTCAGGTGATCCACCCGTCTCAGCTTCCCAAAGTGCTGGGATTACAGGCATGAGCCACTGAGCCCAGTCTCAGCCTTTATTTTTATGCCTTTGATTTTAGAGTGATATTGGTGTGTTTAATTACCTGCCTTTGTATTACCATATTTGATTTACTTCCTGGGTTTTAATGACCACTCATAAGTCACGGTACCTTGCAAACCATGCAGTTCCTTCTGACTTTTGACTATCTAAAGGAAAAAGCAGTATTTATGTGTTAGGTATGTTTATGCCCTTGTAAGCTATACTGTAGCTGTTTAATATGCAAAATCTAAATGGCATTTTTGACTTGACAGCTCAGACATGTACTTTATGTATTTGGAAGTTTTTAGACAACAATTAGTTTACTATCTAGTTTATTATTAAACATTATTAAATATAATTATTATTAAAGATAATGAACTGGGCTGGCCACGGTGGTTCACGCCTGTAATCCCGGTACTTTGGGGGGCCGAGGCGGGTGGATCACTTGAACCCAGGAGATGTAGACCAGCCTGGCCAATATAGCAAAACTCCGCCTCTACTAAAAATTCAAAAATTAGCCAGACATGGTGGCATGCACCTGTAATCCCAGCCACTTGGGAGGCTGAGGCAGAACTGCTTGAACCCAGGAGGTGGAGATTGCAGCGAGCTGAGATGGCGTCACTGCACTTCGGCCTGGGCAATAGAGCATGAATGACTCTGTCTCAAACAAATAAATACAGATAATGAGCTTTTAAAGAGACGATAGAGAAAATACAGTTTTTTTGTAAGAATGTTTATCTCTCTTAAAAGATAATTTGTTTTAATTTTCTTCTGATAACAAGTTATTATTTTTATTTAAGAAACTAAGTTTCACGTAAATAATGCTGTGTTGGAAGGCTTTTTGAGTTAAAATCTTTTCGAACTTATAACATCCTGGTAAATTTTAGGAGAACTCGTTTTCCCAGATCAGATTCAAGCTTCTAAAAATAAATGCTTTCAGTAGCAGGATGGCATTGCTTAAAAAGCTGATGGCAGGATAAGCATTTGGGTTAGTGTTTTATTTACATATTTGTAAGTACTTGTTCATTGTGGAAATGTGTCCTTTGTGGCTAAACCATATGTGGCTACGGAAACCATGTTTGTAGTTCTGGATATACAGGTTTTGTGTGTATTTAGTCTATTGTATTAAATTATTGCCCTTAGCTTAAAGTAAGGATTGCAATTACATTTAAGTAGATCATTGAATGTTATTGTTTATGAAACTTACTTTTGTGTGCCGCTTATAAATATGACCTATAAATCAGTGCTTGGGAAAAGTTTACTTTCTTAACCTACTGATAGAAGAATAAAGTATGAACAGTTAAACAGGAAAAAATAAATAAATATCCTCTCACAATTTGGAGATATGAAAAGCCACTCTGAATCAGAAATTCAAATAGTAAAATCACAAGTAGACAAAAATTATTTAAGAAGATATACATATATACACACACGAACACACACGCATATATAAAAATTTATTTTTACTTTTTTCTTTTGGCTACTGGTGAGTAGACTAGGATAAAAGATAAAAAAATGAGTTGATTGAACCCAGAAAAAAATCATCAGAAAAAGACAAAATCATCTAAGAAATAACTAAATTATGAGATGCTGATAGGAGAATAGATTCCAGTGAAAATTTGATTGGGGCATTAAAGAAAGGCAGAACAGTAATTATGAAAATTAAAATGAAGAAAAAAAGGTAAAAGATTAGACAGAAAGTTGAAATGGAGATAGGCAAATAAGACCCAACATATGTATAACTGGAGTCCCTGAAGAAGAAAAAACAATGAAACAGAATCAATAGTTGAAATAATAATCCAAGAAAATTTTCTGGAAATAAAATAAAATCTAATTACATATATTGAAAAGGCCCACTAGGTAGTTGGGAAAACTGACCCAGAACAACTAACTCTGAGACTATTTGAATAAAACAATCAAAGATAAAGAAAATACTCTCCAAACCTCCAGACAAAAGATTAAATAACTGTAAGAGAATCAGAGTGACATCAGACTTATTAAGAGCAATACACACTACAAAGTAACAGTGTAGCAACATCTTAAAGAAACTCAAGGGAAAAAAAGTGAAAACCAAGGATTTTATATTCAGCCAAGCTGTGTCCTTCAAGTATCAAAGCTATAGCTAAACATTAAACAAATATTTAAATTGTTTTTTGTGAGACAGGGTCTTGCTCTGTTGCTCAGGCCGAAGTGCAGTGGTACAATCATGACTTACTGCAGCATTGACTTCCCAAGCTCAAGCAATCCTCTAACCTTAGCCTCCCAAGCAGCTGGGACCACACATGACTGATTTCGTTATTTTTTTTTTGTAAAGATAATGTCTTGGTTTGCTGCCCAGCCCAGTCTCAAACTCCTGGACTAAATCAATCTTCCCACCTTGTCCTCCCAAAATGTTGGGATTATAGGCATGAACCTCCTCACCCACCTGATAAATATTTTAAAACATGCAAGGGCCGGGCGCGGTGGCTCACACCTGTAATCCCAGCACACTGGGAGGCCGAGGCGGGTGGATCACGAGGTCAAGAGATCGAGACCATCCTCGCCAACTTGGTGAAACCCCGTCTCTACTAAAAATACAAAAAATATCTGGGCATGGTGGCACATGCCTGTGGTTCCAGCTACTCAGGAGGCTGAGGCAGAAGAATCGCTTGAACCCAGGAGGCAGAGGTTGCAGTCAGCTGAGATTTTGCCACTGCACTCCAGCCTGGCAACAGAGCAAGACTCCATCTCAAAAAAAAAAAAAAAAAATGCAAGAACTCAAGGAATACTGTACCCATAGTCCTCTTGAATTTATTAGTGAAAGACCTTCATCCAACCAAGAGTTGACTGGGAAAATTTCAGCAAAAGGATTTATGGTGAGCATTTAATATATTTAAATATTAAAGTAAAGGTAGAAATAAGAGTGGAAGAATAAGAAATAAATATTATAAATTCTGACAAAGTAGAAAGTAATGTAACTAAACTATGTTAGAAGAATGAAGAAGGAAAGAAAGATGAACAAGCTTACTGATAATTGAATAGGCAACAGATGGGAGTAAAAAATACCATTAATCTACTTAGGAGGCTGAGGCCTGAGGATTGATTGAGCTTAGGAGTTCAAGACCAGCCTGGGCAACACAACATGACCCTGTCTCTACAAAAAGATTTTAAACTCTCTGGGTGTGGTAGTACATGCCAGTAGTCCTAGCTACTCAGGAAGCTGAGGCAGAAGGATGGTTTGAGCCTAGGAGTTCAAGGTTACAGTACAATAAAGCTATGATCATACCATTACACTCCAGCTTGTTGACAGAGTGAGACCTTGTATTGAACTACCACCACCACCAACAACAAACACTCCAGAATTGCCATAATATTACCTAGAATATTCAGTTTTCAACAACAACAACAACAAAAAATAAGAGATAAGACTGGATTATAGGAGGAAGCAGAAAAGAAGAAGAAAGAAAAAAATTAGGAGACATGCTAAGAAAAAGAAAATTGTGACTGACACTCAGAAAAAAATAAAGCCAGTAAAAATGGATTCTGAGTAGACTCAGATGTTGGATTTAGCTGACAAAGACTTCAAAGTAGCTGTTATAAATATGTTCAAATAATTAAAGCAAACTATAATTTAAAGAATTAAAGAAAAAGATCATGACAATGACTCAATAAACAGGGACTCTCAATTGGAAAATAAAAGGAGAACCAAATGGAAATTTTAGAGTAAAAAATAGAACAGAAATGAAAAATCCTGTAGATGTGACAAATAGCATATTTGAGATGACAGAAGAAAGAATCAGTAAAATATATCAATAAAAAATAGTCAAAGTGAAAGAAAGAAGAAAAACAAAATGAACAGAGCCTCAGGGACCTATGGAGGCAAAAATCAATATTATCAACATACATGTAATGAGACTCTCAGGAAGAGAGAAACAAGAGGAAATTGCAGAAAACTATATTTTATGAAATAATGGCCAAAACCTTCCAAATTTAATGGAAAACATTAATACATAGATCTTAGAAGTTTAATTAATTCCAAATAGAATAAACACAAAGAAATCCATACCTTGACACATCATAGCCAAACTGATGAAAACTAAAGACAATATCTTGAAAACAGAGAACCGTTCATATACAAGGGAACAACAATATGCTTAATGGCTGACTCTTCATCAGAAAAACAATAGAAAACAATACACAAAAACTGGTTCTTTGAAAAGAGCAACAAAATCGGAGCTCTAGCTAGACTAGGCAATAAAAAAGAAAAAAAGAAAAGTTATCAAAGTTAGGACCATACTACAGAAACTTTGAAAAATTAAAATACAACATTCCAAACAAGTTTATGCAACCAAATTAGTCAACTTCATTGGACAAGAGCCTAGAAAGATACAAAATACCAAAAGGGATTCAAGAAGAAATGGAAATCTAATTACAACCATAACAAGTAAAGAAATTCAATCAGTAATTAAAAATCTACCCACAAGGGAAAGCCCAGGATCAGAAGGCTTCACAGGTAAATACTACCAAACACTACCAAAGAAAAATGAGTATCAATCCTTCACAAACTGAAAAAATAGAAGAGGAGGGAATTGGTCTCAACTCATTCTATCAGGCCAATATCACACTGATAGAAAGTCAGACAAAGAAATCACAAGAACACAGATTATTCTCATGAGTATGACATGAGAATCCTTAACAAAATAATTAGCAAACCAAATCTGGAAACATAAAAAAGATTATATACCGTGACTCTGTGGGACTTATCTCAGGAATGTAAAGTTGGTTTAATACTGAAAATCAATAATGTAAAACACCATATTAAAGAATAAAAGAAAAAAATCACATGATCATCTCAGTAGACATAGAAAAGGAATCTGACAAAACCCAACACTCATTCATGATGAATACAAGGGAACTTTCTCAAGGGCATCTGTGAAAAATCTACAGTTAACATCATGCTTAATGAAAGATTGAATGTGTTACCCCTAAGATTGGAAAAAAGATGCTTGCTTTCACTATTTTTATTTATCATTGTATTGAAAGTTCTTGCCAGTGCAATAAGGCAAGAAAAAGAAGTTAAAGGCATAAACATTGAAAACAAAAAGTAAGGCCAGGGACAGTAGCTCACACCTGTAACC